TGGAGGAGGTGAAAGTATTGAGCAAAAAAAAAAAGGAAACTCATGTACACAGACAACAGTGTGGTGATTGTGTGTGGGGGGGGGAGGCGAGTGGGTGGAGGTAGAAGAGGGTATAGGGGGGATAAATGGAAAATAAAATAAAATTGGTCATTATTTACATATCATGTGTGTGTGTGTGTGTGTGTGTGTGTGTGTGTCGGGGCTCCATTCTGAGCTTCAGGAACACATCTGAGTGCTCAGCACAGAGGTGTGAGTTCAGCAGGCCAGGGCTGCCATGGGTGCAGGGATGAGGAGTCAGGATCCCAGAGTCCCAGAGGAGGTGCCAAATAGGAGTGTGCAACTCTGTGCAGCAGAAGGGCCAGGAAGACCGACCGGCCTGTGCTGCTCAGAAGAGGACAATGCCCTTGAAAATGCATCTGTTGAAATGCTCAGAGGAGGAAGGGGCATGGCCTTGGCTAAGCCAGGCCATTACCGCTGTCAGTCAAGCATCTGTCCACACCATTGTTTCAGCAGCCACATTATACAGAATTCAAAACCAGGCCCTGCGAGGAGACCTGTAAGAGTGGAGAGTTGCAGTTTCTGTCCCAGGGAGTTTCCCAGGATAATGGGGAGATGGCGGCAGTAACCACATTTTCTGATTCAAAAGTCGGACAGGCAGACTGACAAGTATAAATATACTTTTGAAGTTAAGAACGGTAATGTTTATAATCAGGATGTCAAAAAAAGAACACACAGCCCACATCGTCAACAATTATATGGGACAGACATCCAGGAAAAAAAAAAAAACAGAACACATGGAAAGATAAAACAAGATAAGCAAGGACAGCTGAGGTCAATGTTACGTGTTATGTGTGAGAACAAGTTGGCTTGACTGTTGACTTGTGTCTCTGTAACCCAACTGCCTACAGCCTATTGGATCAATGGCCCCCTCAAAGGGAATTCGTTACTTCTGGGAATTCACAAAGGGGTGTCTCGTGTCTTCACAAACTGGTCTGTCATTGGCAGTCATTATTTGTTGCCCTCCCTTCTCTCACTCCTCTATCCCTCTCACAGTTGTTCTTTATTCTCTCCATTTATATCCGTGAAGAACATCTATCCATGTTCTTTTTCTTAAGAAACTCCCTCAAGTTCTCGTCCATTCAATATTCAGTAACTCTACTGAGCACCTACTATGTTTCCTGCCCTGCATGAGGCAGTAGGGCTACAGAGACCAGTGAGACACAGTCTTTCAATCGAAGAGCTCTCTACTCACTAGGAGAGAAAGTACATAAGCAGATGATATGAACTTCCATAGGTCTACTCATCTTAAAAAGACCTGAAAGAGGACTGCAGAATGGGTCCTGCTACACTCAGACGTGCAAAGGAACTGTAGTACCTTTGTGCCTTTGCAACTGCTCTGATCTTCCCATGAGCTTCCCACCCACAGGGCAGCAAAGGAAACTAAATGTTCATCCATCCTGAGAAGCTCAGTTTGACCAACCACTTTAACATTTTCTTAAGGAAGCTAAGTCTCTGCTTGGATAACTCTGGCAATTGCTTAATCAGTGATTCACTTCCTCCCCAACCCAGCTCCTGTCTAAGAAGGGTGGGGGTCGTATAGGTGAGGTGGTTCCAGTGACCTTATAGCAACAGAAGGAGACAGTGCATCGACTTATGTGGACTCAGGATTCCCACTGGTCTCTGATGAACTATATGTATGACTCCCACCGGGGCAGCTGGTGGCCCCAGTCATTGCCTGCATAGTGTGGCCCCTTTGCTCCAAGTCAGCCCTCTGTAGGTTCTTTACCCTCTCAGTATCTCCGGGTCTTCTCACGAGAGCTTGTGGGCATGTTGAAGCATTTACACATTCTGCATGGGTATAAGCCGAAAGTTCATTTCTAGGGCAGGGAAAGGGGGGATGTTGAGACTTTACATCCCTCTTCAGTCTTCCTCTGTCACATTATATATATATATATATAATTTCAGAGAGAGAGAGATAGAAACATCAATGATGAGAGAGAATCACCAATTGGCTACCTCCTGCATGCACCCCACTGGGAATCGATCCTGCAACCCTAGCATGTGTCCTGACGGGGAATCGAATCGTGACCTCCTGGTTCATAGATCGAACGCTCATCCACTGAGCCACACCATGTGTCCTGACGGGGAATCAAATCATGACCGCCTGGTTCATAGATCAAACGCTCTTCCACGGAGCCACACCAGCTGGGCTCCTCTGTCACATTTTTCTTTCCACAGTCTTCAGGCTAAAAAAGGCAGACCTCAGACTATTTCCTGAACATCATATACTCTTTGTACCCTCAGACAATAAGCCTTAAGGCCTGGCCTTCACAGACAAAAGAGGCCATTTGTCTATAGTCCTGTAGAAGAACTCTGTTATCCAGTCCACAAGGCTGTTGTTCTATGATATTTCAAGGGGGTAGATAAAAGAAATTAAAATATCCTTTTGTCCCTTAAAGAGTTTGGCTTTCAAGCCTTTCGTCTTGCTACTGACTCTAAAAGACTATGTCAGAAGCTGAATGTTGACTTTCTCTTTTCCATTTTATACCTGCTGAAACAATAATAACTCTTTCAGAGACAGACAGGTGCCTTGAGCTGTCTAGGGAAAACTTAAAGACACAAAAATACAGACGGAAAAAATCTTATTTATATAAATCAGAATGATTTTTGGAGTTCCTTTGTGAAGTTCAAAGCCAACGCTTCCCAACTCTTCTCCCCATCCTTTGACTCATTGGACTATACAATGGGTTTTTCGCTCTAGAAACTTGGTGGATTCAGGCTTTCTCCAGGATGTAAAAAGAATATTTTGAGAGGCAACTATTGCAAAACTAAGACAGTGTTAGAGATTACCAAGAGGGGAGCTGTAAACTTTGGTCTCATCATGATATAAAGATTCCTTACAGGAATGAAAGAGAAGAAGAAGGAGAAGAAGAAAGAGGAGGAGAAAGCAGAGGAGAAGTTCTTTTTTTAAAGTTTAAAATATCTTTGTAACAAAGAATTTCCTAGGCATTCTACTGTACCATATCTTCATCAATCCTCCTAACAATTGCTACAAGGAAGCTACTGTTTCCCCATTTCACAGATGTGAAATTGAGGGTTTACAAGGTTGTGAGCCAGGTTTCAAGACTGCACAGTTAGTGAGCATACATTCTACTGACGGCCCTCATGAGAATGGTGGACAGAGCGATGAGGGGACAGGGGAGCTAGAGGGACGCTCCTCCTCGAAGCCTGGAGACAAGAAAAGGCCACCAGGCTGAGAAACTGCTGACAGAACCCCAGGATGCTGGCTGTTAGGGTGTCATCTTTGTCCTCGCTCTGACATGTTGGAGAAAATTAGCTAAAGGCAGAGGAATAAACAGAGTGGCTTCTGGAAAGAGGCCCTCGGTATCTACGTGATTCTATGATAGGACAGAGAACCCCAAGTAGGACCCGACAGGTATGAAAATAATCGAATTCAGGCCATGTTCCAATCTTCTTCCTTTGGGATGGAACAAGGGTTTCCATTTCTTCAGCAGTTCTCTGGAGTCTCTCATTCCCCAGCCTTTGAAAAGCTTCTATCCCTCCCTCTTCAAAATGTATTGGAGGTCTACCCCTGGCATACACCTGCCTTCTCAGCAACAAGGAGCATGAGGTGGAGACAGAATGGATTGGGACACAAGTCCAATTTAGGGTGTGTCCCAGTTCAGTCCCTATTGAGCCCAAAGCCTCATCTCCCCCTCATAGTGGTTCTCAGCACAGACAGGGAAGAATTGATGGCCCCCTGGAACCCATTTGATTGGCACCCCCTCTGAAGATTATCTCCTAAGCAAACACCCCCTTCTAAACTGGGGATGTAGGGCTTTGAAACTAGAAAATGCCAGGTCTGAAAGAGAAGAAAGAACAAGTCCGGCAACACACAGAGCTCTGTGTATTCAGAGAGAAGTTGGCAGGATTGTGCTCGGGCAGAGAAACTCCGAGTGGTACAAAGGGACGTGCCCAGAGTGAAGAAATCATGCTAATTGTCTGCACCGAAGCTGGAGAACGCCACCCAAAATGAAGAGAGAAAGGGGAGCCCTGTCCAGAGCCTTCAGCGCCCTGCGCCTCACTCCTTTTGTCTACCTTCTTCTGATCCAGACAGGTAGGAGACCAGAAGGGTAAGAAAGCGTTTGGAGAAGGGACTGGGGCTTTCAAAGGTGAAGGAGGGGAGAGTGGAGGGCCAGCATTGCCTTTAGGGTGGGAGGAGGGGAGAGCGCTCAGCTGCGTGGGAAGCATCTCAGTGAATTCAGGCATTAGTGTTGAATGTATTTCTTCATTCTGCACGGCCCCTGCCCCCTCCCCCAAAAGGCTGCATGACTTCGGAGCTCCCACGGCATTCAGGACATGAGATGAAGGGCAATGAGCCATTTTTATAGGATGACTTGTTGGTACGGGCCAGTTCGGCATTCTTTGCAAGGATTATGGTGAGGCTTGGAGGGGTGGGGGAATCTGGGTTTTGTGCCTCCCCAACCTCCTGCCCCCACTTCTCTGAGTGTAAAACAGCAAGAGATAGAAGAAGCTTTGGCGATAACGAGCATCTTGATTTTGGAGAGTAACACCAAACTACCCATAACTCACCGTACACCGTAGACACCTGTCTCCTATTTCACCCCCTACCAACTATTTGGAGAATTGATCTTATTTTTAAGTATATTTGTTTATGTCCCCACACACTGTTCCAGAAAGCTTAGGAATTCACAATTTGGTTGGGCAGACAGAGGCAGAGATCATTTTAATAAAACACAGAAACTATTTTGAGTCAGATATGCAGAGGATGCCTGGGAGCAGAGAGAAGTCACCTACCCCACCAGGAAACGGGTGCTGGTGGTGCAGGGTGGGGTTGGGGGAATATCAGGGAGGTCACCTGGGAATGTCTGCACTAAATTTTAAAGGATCCGATAAAATAGGTAGGTGTGGGCGTGGGCATTAGAGTTGGGGAAATGGGCAAAGGTCGACGACAGCTTGAAATGGCATCCTGTGTTTAGGAGCAGCCCAGCTGTTCTCCACTGCTGGAGAGGAAAGTGTGAATAAGTTAGGCAAGAGCCTGGTGAACTACACTAAGTAAACCAGAATATTCTGTAAACAGTGGAGTGGAGAGAACATTGAAAGGTTCTAATCTGGGGGCTGGGAGGGCCAGGCGTGTGTTGGGATAGCTCACTCTGTAGTGAGGCATCAGAGGGGAACTGGAGGCAAACAAGATAGGAAAGGCACCTGTATGCACTTCCTAGGGCTGCTATAGCAAAGAACCACAAACTGGATGGCCTAGAAAACAGAAATTTATTGTCTCACAGTTTTGGAGGCTAATAGTTTGAGATCAACATGTCGGCAAAACTCAGCTGATGAAGATAGAAAAGGATCCATTCTAGGCCTCTCTGCTTCTAGTAATTCCTTGGCTTATGGCAGCATAACTTCAGTATTTACATGATATTCTCCCTGTGTGTGTGTCTGTGTCCAAATTTCCCCTTTTTATAAGGACGAGAGTCATATTGGATTAGAGGTCCATCTTCATCTTAGCTTATTACCTCCACAATGACCCCATTGACAAAGAAGGTGACATTCTGAGGTACTGGGATTAGGACTTCAACATATGAATTTTAGGGGACACAATTCAACCCATAAAAGGCTACTGCAGTAGTTCATGAGAGAAATAGCATGGGCTGGAATTAGAATAAAAACAGAGGGAATGTGGAATGTTGAGATAATATTTTGGAGGGAAAGTCAGGACTTAGTGATTGATAAGAAGTGAGAGGGTCCAGAGAGGGAGGTATGGGTTCTGTGTGAAACCTTAAACAAAAATTGTGGGGATATGATCATTACTGTTGTCCATGTTAAGGTTGAAATACCTATGACACATCTGTGGGAAAATGTTGAGTAGCCTAAACCTGGGGGGCAGGGAGGCCAGGGCTGATGGGAGGTATTTGGAGGCTGTCAGCCCATAGGCAAGATTTAAAACAAAGAATGGATAATAGCACTTAGGATGAGAAAATAGACTGAAAATGGAACATTGAGTAACCCCAAGATTTGTACAGGAAAAAATTCCATTGGGGAGAAGGAACAGTCACAGGGACAGAGGGAGAACTAGAAGACTGTGTGTGCAGAAAGTCAAGGGAGTTGGGAGTTTTCTAGAGAACCAACATCAAATGTATCGAAGAGGTCCAGTACAATAAGTACCTAAAAGAGTCCGTTAGATATGGCATTTAAGAGGTTACTATTGGGCCGAAACCGGTTTGGCTCAGTGGATAGAGCGTCGGCCTGCGGACTGAAGGGCTCCAGGTTCGATTCCAGTCAAGGGCATGTACCTGGGTTGCGGGCACATCCCCACTGGGAGATGTGCAGGAGGCAGCTGATCGATGTGTCTCTCTCATCGATGTTTCTAACTCTCTATCTCTCTCCCTTCCTCTCTGTAAAAAATCAATCAAATATACTAAAAAAAAAAAAAAAAAAAAGAGGTTACTATTGGCCTTACTGAGCAGTCTCAGTGGAAATGACAATGACTTGAGGAAATGAGATTTGGGGAATTGGGAATACAAAGTGCATATAAAATATACAAATCAGAGCCCTAACCGGTTTGGCTCAGTGGATAGAGCGTCGGCCTGCGGACTGAAGGGTCCCAGGTTCGATTCCGGTCAAGGGCATGTACCTTGGTTGCAGGCACATACCCAGTAGGGAGTGTGCAGGAGGCAGCTGATCAATGTTTCTCTCTCATCGATGTTTTTAACTCTCTATCCCTCTCCCTTCCTCTCTGCAAAATATCAATAAAATATATATATATAAATCAGAGATGTCCCTAACTCCTTCAGGCCATCATATGATAAGGAAAAAAATTACAGAAATATATTGTTAGTCAATGTGACTGGGCAAAAACAAAACGTGGCAAAGGGTCTAAAGTGTGGGAGAATTAATAAATATAACAAAAAATTCTAAATATAAACTATGCTAATAAGACATTAGTTATGACCTATGACAGGTAAGAAATCAGTGCAGGGTCAGGCCATTGTACTGCTGTGATCTGAGAGCAATAAAGAGCTGACATTCTATAAGAAATTTCTGCCATCTTCAATAAATCAATTAGGAAAATGCCAACTTCTTTGACAAATAAATTCCAAAATTTAAGTTACTGGTGTTAACCATATAGTGGTATGATGAAGTTCCAGGTAGGCCTGGGATGAGGAAGGACTCTGCTCCATGAAGTTTTTCAGGGACAAAGATGATGGAGATCTGTCAACTTTGACATGTGTTTCCAATGGTCACCCTGAGATTTATCTCCATTTCTTCTAGGTAGACAAAAATTTAAGTGGGTGTGGGGGGTCCTAAACCAGCGTATAGAGGGTACCTGTCACTTTCACTAGTTCATCAGCTAGAACGCAGTCACCTGGCCAAACCTAACATCAAGGGAGGCTGGAAAATATAGTTTTTAAGATTGGCGCTAAAAGGGGAGCTTGGACCATGTCACCCAAGCTCCCAAAGATTTACCTTAATCCCTTGTGTTTATGGCAGCAACCACCAAGCCAGGCTCAGATAAGTAACACTCAATATTTAATGCTCTGTCCCTAATATGGATTAATAAAATTTTCCTACATTCGTCACAGCCCAACTCATGGAACATGCAACTAAGGCTTTCCTAGAGGCCCGGACAGTATTTTACAGACATAAACACGGCATGCCACAAATCTAGATAATCTGATTCGCAAGATTTTACTCTTTGGGATCTTATAACTATTCCATCCTCTAAGGACCCAAGAAGAAGAAGTCCCTTGCCTGGGTTCCATCCTTTTAGCCCTAAAATCCCCTTCACATGGTAATTGGAAACTTTTGCAAAGCAAAATTAGCACATAAAAAATGAGTAGATGGTGGTGTCTTTAAAGGAAGAGGCTATTAAGGGAATCCGAGGCTATTGGCAGATACATTCTTGTGCTTTACAGCTTGACATTGCTTGGTGTCACAGGAGGTCAAAATCCTGCTTGATGAAGTCACCTACCTGACCCAGTGTGGCACTGTTTAAGTTGATCAGTCAATTTCCTTTTGTTCAGCCTTGGGTGGGAACAGACACTTCCTACATAATGATGCCTCAGAGACTAGAGGACAGTAATTAAGTTAATCACTTCTCAAGGTTGAATAGTCCTAGTCCCTTTTATTTCTACTGTGGATCACAATTGTTAGCCACTTCCTCGTTTCTGTGTCCTGCTTTGGCTCCTGTCCCAGTTCTCTGTGTCCCTTGAAAGTTGTGGAACCCTGAGCTTAATCCAGACTCCAGTTTTGGCAAGAATTTTGGGAAACCAGTGTTTCCTTGGCAAAATGCTCTCTTTGTCAGCTTCTGAGAAAGACTGCTCCATTCACTTCTGAACACCCATACATACACCTGTGAGACATGGCGGGAGGAAGACTCCCGCCTAGAGGAGAGTAAGGCCTAGGGCAGTGGACGGCAAACTCATTAGTCAGCAGAGCCAAATATCAACAGTACAACGATTGAAATTTCTTTTGAGAGCCAAATTTTTTAAACTTAAACTATCTAGGTAGGTACATTGTTATTAACTTAATTAGGGTACTCCTAAGGCTTAGGAAGAGCCACACTCAAGGGGCCAAAGAGCCACATGTGGCTCGCGAGCCGCAGTTTGCCGACCACGGGCCTAGGGCAATCCATATGCTATAGCTTCTCAGTGTTTTCATCCTGGGGAACCAGGTTTAATTGGCAGAAAGAGCAGGTGGAGCCCAATCTTACAAGGCCTTCTGATCCCAAACTTTTTGTTTTACTCATCCTAAATCCCTCTTCTAAAGGGAATACAAATTGGGCTGGAGTTTGGGTGAATTTCCAAAATCATCTACCCCGTTGCAGGGCTGTTTTGCACTGGGTAGGCCTAGTAAGATGCTACGTGCAGCTGGGGCAAGGATAGGAGAGGCTCTTGGTCTAACTGGAAGGTGGCCCAGTTGTCTTCAGACCCCTAAACTTCCCCTTTAGTGCACCATCATGTGGCATACTCCTTTCTTTGTGAATCTGTGTCCCCATGCTTTCTCCATCACCCAACCCCACCTCACTCTCCCAATTTTCAATCAAGAAAACCTGACAAATTCATTCTAAGGTCTAATGACTTATAAGCTACAGAGGATAAAAGATGTTTGTCTATTTTGCTCAATGACATATCCCAAGGATACAGAACAGTGCCTGGCACATGGTAAGTGCTCAATAAATATTTCTATAAGTGGTGTGGGTGAGCTGGACTCTTCCAGAGGAAAACTACCAGAGGCAGGGGCCAGATGGAAGAAGAGTGAAGGGCAATGGGATGGGTGTGAGGGATGATGGAGGAGCAGAGGGGCCCAGAGCTACAGGGGGAGAAGAGAAGGCACCAGAGAGTAAGAAGGAAGGACCCCTGTGAAGGGCGCAGAATGAATGGAGAGACTTGAAGAGATCAGAGGAATTAAAGGTGGGAGCCAAGGGTCTGATGCCGCCCTCTCCGCATGGGCCTCTGTTCATAGGGCCCCTGCAGGGGGTGAACATCACCAGCCAGGTCCGCCTGATCCATGGCACGGTGGGGAAGTCCGCACTGCTCTCCGTGCAGTACAGCAGCACCAGCAGCGACAAGCCCGTGGTGAAGTGGCAGCTAAAGCGGGACAAGCCAGTGACCGTGGTGCAGTCCATTGGCACAGAGGTCATTGGCAACCTGCGCGCTGACTATCGAGACCGCATCCGCCTCTTTGAAAATGGCTCCCTGCTTCTCAGCGACCTGCAGCTCACCGATGAGGGCACCTATGAGGTGGAGATCTCCATCACGGATGACACCTTCACCGGGGAGAAGACCATCAACCTCACTGTGGACGGTAAAGCACTCTGGCAGGGAGGGAGGTGGGCTGGGCCTGAGACTGGGGCAGGGTCTGTTAGGCCCTGGAACACCAACCCAAAAACCACTTAGGAGTTGAGAGGAAGCCAGTTGGACATTAGCAGTTAGCAGACAGGCCACAGTAAACAGGTCTTTACCTGTTTACTCTATTCCAGAAACTATTTTAAGTGCTTTGCCTAGATTGACTCTTAATGCTCACAATAATCTAGGGATAGTAAATGTCATTATCCCCATTTGCAGAAGAGGAAACTGAGGCACAAAAAGGCTGAGTAACTTGCCTAAGTCTTGCAGCTAGTAAGTGATGGAGCCAATATTTGAACCCAGGCAGCTGGACTTAGTCTTAGCTGTGCCACACTGGGTCAGTTTAAGACATCTTAGGAAGGTATTTGAGGAAAAGGGGAGGGAAGGTCCATGAGGGTGGGGACCATGGCTGCCTGGTTCAGTATTGTACCTCCTGTGCTTAGTAGGTACTCGATAAATAGCTGATACATAAATGAGTGAATGGGGACATCTGTAATACTTTCAACAATAAAGATAAATTAAAAATCAATCAATTAATAAATGAGTGAGTGAATGAATGAATGATGGATGGATGGTGGTCAAGAACTTGACTAATGATCTCTGAAGGGCCTCTCTGATCACAAACTGAGTTGTGTTGTGTTGAAGTTAGAGAGTTAGGAAGGTGGGAGGAGCTTTTGGCCCCTGGCTCACAGCGTCCCCTCCCCGGGCCCAGTGCCCATTTCGAGGCCACAGGTGTTAGTGGCTTCGACCACTGTGCTGGAGCTCAGTGAAGCCTTCACCCTGAACTGCTCCCACGAGAACGGCACCAAGCCCAGCTACACCTGGCTGAAGGATGGCAAGCCCCTCCTCAATGACTCTCGAATGCTCCTGTCCTCCGACCAGAAGGTGCTCACCATCACGCGCGTGCTCATGGAGGACGACGACCTGTACAGCTGTGTGGTGGAGAACCCCATCAGCCAGGGCCGCAGCCTGCCCATCAAAATCACCGTGTACAGTGAGTCTCCCTGCCTGCCCTCCCTTCAGGGCTCAAAACCCATGAGGGGCTACAGACATCCCCCCACAGAGGGAGAGAGAGGCAGAGATGGGCCCGCTCTCCATGGAGAACAGCAACAGGTGGGAAGTGGGCCCTGGGCAAGCTCTGCCAGGAGCCAGCCATGCTGCCTGGGGCTCCTTTTCTCTTCCACCCGCTGCAGGGAGCTCTCCGCACCACCCGGAGTCTCTCTCACTTCTCTGCCTTTCTCTCTCCCTAGAAAGAAGCTCCCTCTACATCATCTTGTCCACAGGAGGCATCTTCCTCCTTGTGACCTTGGTGACAGTGTGTGCCTGCTGGAAACCCTCCAAAAAGTCTAGGTAACTCCTCACGTTCCACACCCTGAACATCCTAATCCTTCGAGCTCTCTTCTTTTCGAAGTCTCTTTAAATGCCTTTCCTCCCAGGGCCCTGCACTTCTTCCCAGGAGATCCATCTCACCACTGTGTGTACAGTGTATGGAACCACCTCCTGCGCTCACAACACCCCCTTCTCCCCCCATGACCCACACTGTTAATAATGGTTTCACTCCCAGGGCACCTTTCACGGGCTAGGCACTGTGGTTGTGGTTAGCGCCCTACCTTTTAAGTATCATTACCTGCAGTTTACAGATAAAGACAGGGAGACTCAAATTGTCCACAGTCACAATGCCAGCGGCAAACTTAGATTTGACTCATTCCAGCCCCTCCTCCTGTTATCAGGCCCTTTATACAGCCATCCACTCGCCCTTGTCCCCACCCCCAGACCTCCTCCTGCTCACACTCAGCAACTCTGCTCATGGGGTGCTGGGTTGATTTGCAGAAAGAAGAAGAAACTGGAAAAACAAAACTCCCTGGAATATATGGATCAGAATGATGACAGCCTGAAGCCAGAAGGTGAGCTCCCAGCGGCCCACTCACCCAACCCATCCTCACTCAGATCAGTGGGCTTCTGGGAAAAGGCAGAACTGGGCCTCAAGGAAGCCGGCTCTGCAGGGCCCCTTCCTCCACCAACTGCCCGAAGACTGCAGAGCAGGGAGAGGTGCGGCCAAGGTAGGACCCCACGCGTGGCTGATCCTTTGGTGGAGGTTGTGGCGGGACCTTGACTGGCCACTTGGGGAGCAGAACGTAGGTGCTGGCTGGTGGGGAGGGTTCTGGGTCGGGGCCAGCCACCCCATTCTTTGCCCTGTGCAGCAGACACCCTCCCCCGAAGTGGAGAGCAGGAGCGGAAGAACCCCATGGCACTCTATGTTCTGAAGGACAAGGTGAGCAGCTGTGGACTGGGTGCCTCACAAACACCAATGAGCCCCTACCACGTCCTGGTGCTAGATATGTATATCCCTTTCTAGTACGCAGAATGACCTGAGAAATAGGTGTGTTGTCCCCATTTTACAGGTTAGGAAAATAAGGCCGATGAAGGTGAAAGGACTTGCCCAGGATCAACCAAGAAAATAAGGAGCAGGTCTAAGCCAGTGGTCGGCAAACCACGGCTCGTGAGCCACATGCGGTTCCTTGGCCCCTTGAGTGTGGCTCTTCCACAAAATACCACGTGCAGGCGCGCGCGTACAGTGCGAAGTTGACTTAAAACTTTAAAGTTTATTAAGTTAATTTTAGGGAATGTTGTGGAGTGAAAGAAGATGTAGTGTCGAGGATTGAGAAAGGTATATTGAGATGGTTTGGACGTATAGAGAGGATGAACGAAAGGAGATAGACGAAACAAGTATACAAGACGAGTGTGGATGGGAGAGTTGGAAGGGGTCGACCTCAGCGAACGTACCTCAATCAGATTGAGGACGTTTTTAGCAAAGGCCAGCTTAGGAGTACCCTAATTAAGTTAATAACAATGTACCTACCTATACAATTTAAGTTTAAAAAATTTGGCTCTCAAAAGAAATTTCAATCGTTGTACTGTTGATAGTTGGCTCTGTTGACTAATGAGTTTGCCGACCACTGGTCTAGGCCTTTAGTTCAGGTCTTTGAACATCAGCTCTGGTCGTTTCCCCTCTGTTCCACTAACGCTGCCCCGGGCTATCCTAGACAGGTGGAAAGAGGACAATAAGGAACAAAGCACTCAAGTTAATGCATTTCACTGTTTACTGAGCACCTGTTATCTGCCAGGCACCATGCTAAGTGTCTTGTATTGGGGGGATTGGGGGGGGGCGGGGGTTAGGGGGGGCGGGGAGCCAGACCTCCGTCTGCCATCTTCCCAGAGGTGGGAGTGTGGAGGGAACTATCTCCTTCACTTAGGTTTGCCCAGCGCCCCTTGAACACCAGTCGCGCCCCTAAACCGGGCCGCTGTCCGCTGACCCCGGCGCGTGTCTTGCAGGACGCCCAGGAGCCCGAGGAGGGAGCCTGCTTCCGGAAGCCCCGCGCAAACGGAACCCGGCCCGCCCGGCCCGCCCGGCTACTCGGTGTCGCCGGCTGTTCCTGGCCGCTCGCCCGGGCTGGCCGTGCGCTTTGCCCGCCGGTACCCGGGCTCGGCCGCGCCCTCCCCCGCTTCCGGTCGGGACGCACACGTCTCCATCCCGGGCCCCCGGCTCGCCTGGTCGCTCGGAGCATACTGCGGGACTGCGGGGCGCGCGCTTTGATCCGCGAGCCGGAGGAGGGCCGCCCCGGTGGGGATCAGCGCCTGAGCCGCCCGGGACCCGCCTTCCCGCCGGAAAGCCCGCACCCGCTGCGGCCGGCCGGGGAGGTGGGGAGGCCCGAGAGGCCAGAAAGCGGGGCGAAGGGAGGTCCCGGCAGGAGCGCAAGGCGCACGGGTCTCGCCCGTGGACGTGGATGAGCTTGAGCAGATGGAGGAGGCAGCGGGAGCCGGAGATTCAGGGGTGGAACCGGGTCGCGTTTGCTTCTGGTTCGCTGGCAGTGTTCTCGGTGGATAAGGGTTGTGCCCCCTTAGGACTATATAGATTATTACATTCCCGGCCCAGTCCTCCGAGGGTCTTATGGAAACTAACATCAGTAACCTATCCCGCGCCCTTGCCACCCGCCTCCCTTCCCGCTGAAGGAACGCCTGGTTCCTGGCACTTTTTGGGCAAGCCCAGGTTGCCGAGGCCTTTTGCTCAAAATGCACAACTGTCTAAAGCAGCAGTTCTCAACCTGTGGGTCGCGACCCCATTGGGGGTCGAACGACCCTTTCACAGGGGTCGCCTAAGACCATCAGAAAACACATATATAATTACATATTGTTTTTGTGATTAATCACTATGCTTTAATTATGTTCAGTTTGTAACAATGAAAATACATCCTGCATATCAGATATTTACATGACGATTCATAACAGTAGCAAGATTACAGTTATGAAGTAGCAACGAAAATAATTTTATGGTTGGGGGTCACCACAACATGAGGAACTGTATTAAAGGGTCTCGGCATTAGGAAGGTTGAGAACCACTGGTCTAAAGGAAGGGGAAGTCAGATGCCGGTGACTGTGTACAGGGCACTGTTCTGAACATCCGGAAATCATTGTGAAGGCAGCGCCTCTGGGCACCTGGTACCTGGGTACCTACCAGTTGATGCGGGAGGAGCTCAGGCACATTCTTTTGCCCCCTGACCTGGGCCCTAGCGAGAACAAAGGATTCAAGCCCCGGGCTTGGCCTCCTCCCAAAGCCTCCGTCAGAGAGAGGCCTGCTAAGCGTTCCTTCTGTCTCTCTTCCTAGAGAGAGGGATTCTCACTCACTCCCCTAGCCCAGAAAGCTAGATCATGTGAAGAACTGTTTTTAACCCTCACACCTGTGCCTTCTGCCTGGCTTCCTTACACAACAAGCCTTTCAAACAATCATAATCCCCCCTGAAAGGCTGTGGGCTCCCTCCAGCTGTGAGAGAATAAGGTTTGACTTTCCAGAGAAATGAAGTGGGGGGAGGAGGCTCATTGCTCCCAGCATGTCAGGGAGACGTGATCCAACCCTTGGCTCCCGCCTCTACCTGCCCTGCTCCCAGATACTCGGATCCCAAGAGACTGGAGAAGGGTAGACTCCCTAACCACACAGCATCTGAATACAGGGAGGTACGGCCACTGTGTAGCCAGGCCAGGCCCATGCCCCAGCCTATGGACCAATTGTAGGAGAGACAGTAATCTACTGTGTGAGGAGAGAGGGCAATTGAAAAGCTGGAAGAGGAGACCTTCTGTGTCTTCTGACCTCTGTTTTCTGATGCCTCTAGGGGTCCTTGCACCCCAGGCCCCTCCTCGACCTCCTAAGCTCCAGTTCTGACTCTCCACCATCCCACAGAGCAATTCCTAAGGCCCCTGTCTCCACCCTTCACCCCGGGGCAAGTTTTGTCCCAGCCCCAAGGGCAAAAGCATCTCTAGTTGGCCCCTCCCCCTCTGCCTGCCAGGGTGCCTGTGGCTCATTTGAGCCTGCAGGCTTTTGCAGCTTCCCTTCGTTGTCCAGAACTGCTCCCCTAACCTTCCCAGGTGCCTCATCCAGAGATAATATGTAGGTGCAGGGTAAGTTGCTCAGGCAGGTGTGAGATGCAGGACTCAGAGAAGGGGAAGATGCTGGTCAGCCTTGAGAGGCAGGGGTGAAGGTTAGGGTGGGATGAGATGAGAGTCTGCTGTATTCCGTACCTTGATGCTGAATCCCTGAGGGCCCAGGCCCAGCTTCCCCGGCTGAGGCCAAATTTACCTTGCGTGGGGTTGGGGAGGTTGGGGGAGTGAGGAAGTGGATTTTTGTTTCTCTTGTATTTTGTTTGGATCTTCATCTTTGTATTACTAGCATCTAGCAGCGTGCCTAGCACATACTGGATGCTCAATAAACTTTTGATGAAATGAAATGACATCTTTCTTCCACTTAAGCAAGGAGAACAAAACAAACTTAAAAACATCAGTCATTTCCCTTTTTTCTTCTCATCTTCCTTCACCATCCTTCATCCTCTTTGAAAACCCCAAATTGTCCATTCCAAAATCATTCACCCACATTCATCCATTCAGGTATTCTTTCATCGAATCATAAACATTTGTTACTCTACCATGGTCCAGGCCCTGTGATCGACACTGAGGAAACGGCATTGTTAGGGTTGCCGAAGGAGGAATGCACAAGGCCAAAGTGGTAAGGGATTAGAAATTTATTTGGTCATCTGGATACCAGATGGGCTAAGCCCCCAAATGGCACCAGCACCCAGGGGCAGGGAGTCAGAGATTTATTTTTTCAATATATATTTTATTGATTGATTTTTTTACAGAGAGGAAAGGAGAGAAATAGAGAATTAGAAACATCGATGAGAGAGAAACATTGATCAGCTGCCTTCTGCACACCCCCTACTGGGGATGTGCCTGCAACCAAGGTACATGCCCTTGACCGGAATCGAACCTGGGACCCTTCAGTCTGCAGGCTGATGCTCTATCCACCGAGCCAAACCCACTAGGGCAGGAGTCAGAGATTTTAAAGGACTCTAGGCAGGCTTTTTCTGGGCGGAGAATTCTCTGGGCAGGTTGGGATTCTGGGAAAGTCCAGAGATAATGGTCTTAGCAAATGGAATGTGGTCTAAGGGAAAGGAAATGTCCCTTGTGAAGTGGCCTAAAAGTCAACTCCCAGGGGAGGGGTGTCGATTCAATTATTTGATCAAACCTAACAAGCATAACTATGCCAGGACTCCTACCCAGAAGCCTCATGGAGGAAGACAGATGGGTAAACAGATTATTACAATACAGTATGGAAGATGCAATGATAGAGGCAGATACAGGGTGCTCTGTGAGCATATAGGAGTGTTCTTTAACCCAGATTAAAGTATCTTGGAGGAGAATAGGCCTGAATTTTGTGTTAGGAAGATTAGTTAACCAGGTGGAGGAGAAGGAAAAAAGGATGAAAGAACACATATTGGAGGCAGAAGGAGCAGCATGTATGAAATCTTGGCAATGTAACATGAATCCAGACTACTTAGTCCCCATAAAATGTGAATTGCCCAGGGATAAATAGTTACATAGCCCTGTAATGGAAACTAGACTTGGACAAGTGACAAGGTGGGGGAGCTGAACCTGAGACGCCCGTATTAAGTTGGTGTCCTGGGAAGGGCCCCCCGTTGGTCGTATCCCAGGCTTCGACAATAAAAATTAGCCCTGGCCGGTGTTGCGCAGTAGGTTGGGCGTCATCCTTGTTGGGGGCTCAATACCTGGTGGGGGATATGCAAGGCAGCCATCTGTGTTTCTCTCTCACATCGATGTTTCTCTCCCTCTCCCTTTCTCTCTTTCTAAAAATCAATTTTAAAATATTTCAAAAACACGCATAAAATAAAATTGCAAATCTTCTCTAGAGACAAGCACCTCCTAAAATTGTCAGAGATTAAGACCAACCAAAGATGAATTACAATGAAAGGTCATAAACACAGATGGAAACAAATCACCATGAAGGAGAGTCTGCAGATTCAAAAGCAATAGATTTAGACTCCCAGTAGGGGGCGTGCAAGAGGCAGCTGATCGATGTTTCTCTCTCATCGATTTTTCTAACTCTCTATCCCTCTCCCTTCTGCTCTGTAAAAAAATCAATAACTGTTAGCCTAGAATACTTAGCAAAGCAAACTTCCATATCAGAGGGCAAAAGAAGGATATTATCAGAAAAACAAAAACTACAGTTTGCCATCAACACTAAAAAAAGACTCCTAAAAATATTTTAAGAAGAGGGAAAATTATTCCAAAAGAAATATTTAAGGTACAAGAAAGAATGGTAAGCAAAGAGATGAGTACAAAAGAGAAAGGCGAATCTGAACAGTCCTTTATAAAATGATAATAATATCTAATCTGTGGTTCCCAAAATTCAGACAAATAAAATACAGGGAAATAATAGCGGGTAAATTGAAAGGGAGGTATCAGAATGAGACTACTCCAGGGTCCTTGAATTCTTTGGGAAGAAAAAGGTGGTCAAGATAGTAACAATAGAGGCTGCACGACAGCAGCTGAAGGGTGGAGGAGGTGGTATAGCTGTCTTGTCCTCTCCATGAGGTCACAGCTGGCGTTCAGGAAGGTATTCATTTAGTGAAACCACAGCAGTGGCACACACTGCCAGTCACAGACCAAGTTTCCCGCCGCACTGGAGAACCAGATTAAAATGTCCACACTACCTAAAGAAATCTATAGATTCAATGCAATCACTATCAAAATACCGATGTCATTTTTCACAGAACCAGAACAAATAATCCTAAAATTTATATAGGACTACAAAAGACCCAAATAGCCACAGCAATTGAGAAAGAAGAATAAAGTTGAAGGTATCACACTACCTGATCTCAAACTATACTACAAGGCTATAGTAATCAAAACAGCATGGTACTGGCATAAAGACAGACACATAGATCAATGGAACAGAATAGAGAGCCCAGAAATAAGCCCATGCCATGACAAAGGAGGCAAGAATATATAATGGGGTTAAAACAGTCTATTCAATAAATGGTGTTGGGAAAACTGAACAGATATGTGCAAAAAATGAAACAACCACTTTTTTACACCATATACAAGAATAAACTCAAAATAGATTAAAGACTTAAATGTAAAACCTGAAATCATAAAACTACTAGAAGAAAACATAGGCAGAAAACTCTGACGCTTCTCTTAGCAATATTTTTCCTGATATATCTCCCTGGGCAAGGGAATCAAAAGACAAAATAAACAAATGGTACTGCGTCAACTAAAACATTTTTGCACAGCAAAGGAACCATCAACAAAACTAAAAGATAACTTACTGAATGGAAGAAGATATTTGCCAACAGTACATCTGATAAGGGGTTTATATCCAAAACTTATGAAGAACTCAATTCAGCACCAAAAACAACAAAATTTTCCAATTTAAAAATGAGCAGAAAACCTGAATAGATATTTCTCCAAAGAGGACATACAGATGACCAACAGCTATATGAAAAGATGCTCAATGTCACCAACCATCAGAGAAATGTAAATTCAAACCACAGTGAGATATCACCTCACACATGTCAGAATGGCTATCATCAATAAATCAATAAACAACAAGTGCTGGTGAGGATGTGGAAAAAGGGAACTCTTGGGCACTGTCGGTGGGATTGTAAATTGGTGCAGCCACGATGGAAAACAGTATGGAGATTCCTAAAAATATTAAAAACAGAAGTACCTGATGACCCAGCAATTCCATGTCTGGGTATTTATCCAAAAAAACCCAACTAATTTTTACACTAATTCAAAAAGAAATATGCATTCATTCATATGTTCATTGCAGCAATATTTACAATAGCTAAGATATAAAAGTAACATAAATGTTCACTAATAGACAATTGGATAAAGATGTGGTACATATATAGTATGAAATATTACCCAGTCATAAAAAAGAACAAAACCTTACCATTTGCAACAACATAGATGGACCGAAAAGGTATTATGCTAAGTGAAATGAGTCATACAGAGAAAGACAAATACCCTATGATTTCACATATATATGGAATCTAGAAAACTAAATAAATGAACAAACAAAACAGAAACAGACTCATAGATGCAGAGAACAAACTGATGGTTGCCAGATGAGAGGGGGCTGGGGGACTGGTTGAAAAAGTGAAGGGATTAAGAAGTACAAATTGTGAGTTACAAAATAGTCATGAGCTGTAAAGTACAGCACAGGGAATATAGCCAATAATGGAATAACTATGGATGGTGCCGGGTGGGTACTAGACGTATCAGGGGGATCACTTTGTAAGTTACATCAATGTCTAACCAGTGTCCTGTACACTTGAATCTAATAATATTGAGTGCCAACTATCATTTTTTAAAATGAATAAAATAAACTGAGAAGTAATTGAAGAAAAAAAAGCCACAAAGAATACCTAGGGGTGGTTGAGGCTCACTGAGGTTGGTCAGGGAGGAGCTGTGCCATTTCCAGAACCCCCAAGGGATAATTAGCGCATAGCTAGTGTTCTCAAAGCACGTCCAAATCCCCTACCCATAAACCTCAAACCGACATATCCTGACGAGGGAAGTGGGGCTCGGAGAGGTTATGTGACATTCAAGGTCTCTCTGCCAGTGGAACCAGGATCTCCACATAGTGTAACTGCCTTCAGTCCTACCCGAATCCTTACCTTTTACCCCATTCGCTTGGCCAGCAGGCATCCCCCACTGCATCTTCAGAGAACATGAAATAGGAAGCCAGAGAAGCCAGGAACGAGAAGTGGACATTTTTCCTCTGGAGGGTCCTTTAGAAGGGCACTCAATCCCTGCCCTTTCTCTCCCCTCTTGCAGGCAACTACGAGACACTCACAAGCCTCAACACTTTAAAACCAGAGGGCAAAGGAAGGTACTTTCTAAATTGGCCACTGGGTCTGCAGATCACCAGGGCAAGGAGCAGAACTTCCTTAAAACTGAAGGCACCTCCCACTGACAGAATCCGTTTGACTCATGCAGCCAACTCTTCCTTCGTGTGTGGGAATGAGACAGTCAGGATGCTGATGGGCCAGGTTGCCGGAAGTGAGCACTGT